ATATATATATAATTATAAATAGTTATATATATATATAATTATAAATAGTTATATATATATATAATTATAAATAGTTATAAATAATTAATGTTATCTTATTAATTCTTACCCTAATTCTGATTTGTAAATGATTTAAATAAAATTGATAATAATTACAATTGACTTATGTAATCCAATTTAAACCATAACTCTTGTTACACGTGAAGTTTGTCTTATAAATGTCACCTCGGCTAATAATATGTTTGTAGTATCCGAACTGACTTAATGTTAAGATTAGCTCGATCTTTGTATCCGTCGTGATATAGTAACTTTGCCGTGGCTTTACATTATCTTGTATCTCTGTATATGTTAAGAACTACATCGTAGCGTTGATCCCTTTCTCTGGTGGTTCTTTGTCTTATTGTTTATGATGTTCGTCTTTTATTATTAATCAAAGAACAGGAACTGACATCAGTCCCTTCTTTATTCTGTGTGTTTTGGGAATCATATTCCTTCCCTGTGGTAGTCATTTGTGTTTTTATAAAACGGCGTTTGTTCAGTTAATTGATTAACAGCCTGAATAGACTCACCACCTCGCGGAGTAATAAATGTCCGCTAATTTTAGGAGAATTATAGAATTATAGGAGAATTAAACAACCTTGTTGGTGAGAGTGTTCTCATGTAAACATCAAGTTGTTAGAAAACAAACAAGAAGACAGTATTCACTGGATGTCGTTTATTAGGAAACAAAGGAATATTTCATTTAGTCTGTTTGAAGACATGGAATACTAAACAAATGGTATTATTTTATACAGAAGAAACGCTAAAAACTGTGTTATTTCATGTTTAATTTAAATATATGGTATGTTTGAAGACATGGGATACGTGTCATTCCACGTTTAATTAAGATATATGTGTAAAATGATAAAACTCACATTTTCATATATTAATTTTCGTTTGTTTATTAATTTATTACTGGTCCCTACTAAACCCATTAATTATTGTGCACAATATTTGTGGTTTCATCCTCTTTGTTTATTTCAGTTTTTTATTTTTTTTTGTTGCACTCTCCAGAGACTCGGCTGTAAACTTGGGGGTTTATAACCTTAACATTTAGGGCTAGATTTCTTGGTGGATACAGGGCAGATAACCATTTAATACAGCGCTGCATTTAAGAGCAAAACAAATTTTACACCGAATATTTTAACATGAAATCACTCATTCTGATACAGTATTCTATGAACGGTGTATCAGCGAGTCAGTAATCTCGATATTAAAAAGCAATTATATTAGGTCGTCAAGAAATTAATATCGCGTTTTGGAACACTTTCATTGACCACCCCTCAAAATACACACATCACGTATAATATTTTAACGAACCACCTAAACGTCACGTTAGTGTAGCCTATATAATGTTTAAATTTTAGTGTACTCTGATCCCTTACAGTGATGACACACGAAGAGACACACATTCGGCATGTAATGATGTTTGAATAGAAGAAGGGAAACAACGCCTCTGTAGCCACAAAGAATATTAAATAAGTTTGTGGAAATGTTTGAACGTTCGTAAGTGTCAATGATGGTTCAGCAAATTTCGTTCAGGCGACTTTACCCTTAAAAACTGTGATGGCAGGGGCAGACATGTTGGAATTGATATTAATGCTCTGAAGACGCTTGTTAAGTCCAACCCAAGGAAACACACTCGTGAAATGGCCCTGAAATTGCATGTCTCTCATGAAACAATACGTAAACATCACCAGTGATGAAAAATGGATTCTCGATGCGAATATTAAACGCCAAAACGAATGACTCAGTCCTAGACAAAAACCACTTACCGACCCCAAAACA